GGTGGGTGCTTGAAGTGAATTGGTGGGTAGGTGCTTGGAGTGAATTGGTGGGTAGGTGCTTGGAGTGAATTGGTGGGTAGGTGCTTGGAGTGGCACGGTGGAGGAGGCGTTAAGAAGACTGAGAAACTGAATGATTTCAATGTGTCTTTGTTTTTTATTTTTATCCTTTGTTCAATGGAATTTTTTTTTTTTAAACACTGAAAGAAATGAGAATACAGTGAAACAAAGAATAAGAGGACATTGTTTTGTGTCATTATGGTTTATCTGTCTTTTTGTCTATTTGTCCTTTCATTTTTCTTTTCTTCACTCATCTTATTTCTTCTTTTACTTCACGTGCTTATGCTCTTAGTCAATAGTCCTATGACAATATATATATATATATATAGCCCTCGTTTGTTGTCCTCTTCTCCCTCTCTGCCTACGGTTTATCGGGCAGTTCTATTTGACGATATATATATATATATATATTCTGTTTTTTTCACCTTTGCGCTCTAATATTCATGTGATGATATATACTCCGACGTTGCTAGCTCACTGCTTTTGTAGATGATGCGGCGAGCGTCGCTGCGTCGGGCCTGTAATATCAGGCTCAGATCGACGCAAGCAGGCAAACACCAAAGGGCCTTCTTCGTCAATTGCTTGGTGAGATACACGGTGTCGTTCCAGCAGCTGAACAACACGTTCACGGCAAGTTCAACCTGCGAGATGTTGAGGTTGAACTTGAAGCCGCGAAAACTGGTGTTGAGATGCTGGAAACCAGACAGCGAGTCGAGGAATCATTAGACAAGGACGTATTGCTGTTGACCGACTTGTCGCCAAGCATTTTGAAAGTATGTACCAAAGAGGAAAGGAAAAGGAAGAAAATAAGAAAGAAGAAAGAGGAAAGAAAAGAACCTCAGTTGTTTGTGGAGATAAGGGAGGAAAACGTGAGGCAATTAGAAAATACGTTGAGAGAAGAACGAAGGAAGATTGAGGAATTTCGGAGACATCAAGAATAACAAAAAAAAGAAAAAAGAGCAATGGAGAAATTAAGTCAAAGGTTTCACTTTGAAGAAGCAGGCAGCGAGATTGCATCCATCCTCCAGTCATGATCTACCTTGTTTCTTTTGTGAAGAAGATTGACCGCAACACTGCCTCGTTAAAGACGGTGATCAAACTCCTAAAAGGAAAAGACAAGGTAGGAATGAAGGAGGAGACAAGATGGGTGGTAGTGAAGAAGGAATCTCAGGAGAAACTAATGAAAGATGCAAAGTGAGTCACGCCAGAAAAGTCCGAAGGTTCAAAGATGTTGAGGAACCGGTGGAAAAGAAAGACGAACCCGCAAAAAAGGAGGAACCGGTCAAGGAGGTAGAGAAGCCGAAGAGAATAAAAAATGAAAATAAAATTGTCATTTACGTACAACAATAAGAAAGATGAGAATCTGTTGTTGTGGATCACAAAAATCTAGAATTATGTCTGAACCGCCCCCGTTGAGCCTGAGAGTGAGGTCGCTTTCTCTACGTCATGTTTAGGGGGAGTGGCCAAGGAGCGGGTGTTGTCAGAAGCCAACGGTGATGGCTTCAAAGATATCGGTGAGTGGGCAAATACCCTGAACCTCAAGCAATTTCTCCAAAAGATAAAGGAGAGGTTTCTTAACAAGATAACGACCGACAAAACCTTCGGTGAACTCACCACAATCGACCAGAAACGTTGGACTTCCGTGGATGCGTTGTCACGTGAGGTTGACTGACTTTTGCAAGTACCCGGGTTGAACTTGGAGGACTACCAGGTCCTGTACATATACTCACGTGCAGTGCTTGAGCCTATTCGTGGACAGCTCGTGGCAGAAGCCAAGTCTGGAAAGTACAATTATCGACAATTTCACGATCTCACTCTCCAACGAGAGCAGATGACCGCTCAAGTGAAAGGTACGTACGTTTCTGTGCTGATGTTAGAACCGGTTGGCTGGTATGGCTAGTGGGTCCTTTGGCGACAAAAGCGCCAGGACCACATGCTTGTTGTGTTTGATGATGAGACGGGAGAGAAATTACCCCGCAACGAGTCTGAAGGAGGAGGAGGTAATGGCGGCAGTGAGCCTGGGAAAGGTGACGTCATAGTCGTAATGGCCAATAAGGGAGGTCAGGGTCAGTGGAAGAAGAAGAGGAGGCCACACTCGTTTTCTGAGCATCCCGACATTGCGTTCGGGAAGCCT